TGCCTGCTCTCTCAGAGGAGTCTTGCGGAAAATCCATCACAAGCAATTCTGAGGTACTTCATTTGGGGTCGTATTGGTCCAAAGCGGATTTGAAGGACTGCTGGAAAACGCTCAGGAAGTCAAAGGGAGAAAATCGACTTATAGGCTGCATAGCATTTGTTAGCCACAGAACCTGGTTTCTCTCTGGACATTTATACCTTCTCCTGTTTTCTCTGTTACAGTTGATGTGGCAGACAGGTTCTTCGACAACAGACTTAAGGAAAGGAAGAAGTCATTCTGTATCTATCAAAAAGCATTCTTTCTGTTCTGATAAATTTCATCAACTGTTTCACCTCCTAGAAAGATCTGGTTTTCTATCAAGGCGCTGGGATAGGATAGAATGGAACAGAAAGAATGGAAGGAGGGTCATTGGAGCTGGCTGGGGGGCATCCCAAGGGGACAATTAAGGTGCAGGGTTTTTGTCTCATTAATTTACTATTTTATGATTGTTTTATAGTTATTGGTTCTACTGTTGTTGCGAGCTACCCAGAGTCGCTTAAGATGGGTGGCCATATAAATCTTTTAACTAACTGAATGAATGAATGAATGAATGAATGAATGAATGAATGAATGAATGAATAAAATTCCCAGCTGAGGATCCAGTTCACAAAACCCTATTTTATATGGTTCTCTGAAGGCTAAATATGGTTTTCTTTTTATTAAAACCTCTTATAGATCAAAACAGGGGTTGACAGTACCAAACATTTACAAAAATGCAGTGCTGTAGTGGAGAAGGTGCCAGACCAGGAGTGGGGAGACCCATCCTCAGCCATGGGGGCCAGTCCCTCCCTCTCAGCCCAACAGCCAGCATGGAGTATTGGTGAAAGTCCTGGATCAGGAGTAGGACATTTGGAAATTTGTCAACTGCAAATCCTACTGCTTCGTAAATGGGTATTTCCTAACATACATTACACATGGAATGTCCATTTCCAACACAGTTCTTCATTTGAGACTGCACCTTCAAATGCACCTGGGAGGTGGGATGAAAATGATATGCCCATTTAAAGCCTTGGCAATACCAAATTTGAAATCCTGAAACCCCCCCCCCCCCGCATATTTGTTACAGAGCACTCCACCTGTTCACATCTTGTCCTTATATGGCTCTTGACATTCATGCTCAAAAGAGGTGCAGGTGCCTCTTCTCAAGTATTTCTAGGAGGTGAAAAACAACCCAACTTCTTTTCAGAGAAAGGATCTTCCACGGATCACAGATCTCCACCGTCACCACAGCAGAGAAAGGAAGTGTGTGTTCTCGGATCGTGGCTCTGTTACTCAATCCATGAGTCTAGCGAGCAGGTGGACTTTCTGCCCACCTACCTGCCCATCTCAAGGGAAGAGGCCTGGTGACAGTCCAAATTCAGGGTTAAATTGCAGAAACCCTTCTCTGACTAAAATTCTTTTTTGAGGCTTGGTCTTCTGAGAGGCCTGTGATGCTCAATGTGCTGTTTGATTGCCTGGGGTGGGTCTCTCCACAGTGCACTCTTGTGTCCCCAAGATGGGTTTCATCCCACCCTGTATTTGGCCAACTGCATGCTTGATTGAGCACCATCAGCATTTCATTTTATAGAGTCTAGCTAGAGTCTTCCAGAAGCTCATTTATATGGGATGAAGGTTTGTTGTGCCCTCACATCCCTTCCGTTGAACCCAACATCTGCCATATTCAGGGATCTACTATTAGTGGACGTGGAGACTCAGTTCCCCTTGTGGTAACTCTTTTGAGGAAACATCTTTGGAATAACTAATTCTCTAAGATAATTAGAGGGCCAGTTGGCTTGGCTGTTTCACAATATCTGCACAATATATTTACTTCTTAGAGTATTCACAATTATGACTTTTTTTTAGTTGTGGGGAAGGGGGGGGGGAATCACATAATTAAGGCCACCAAGATAGTTGCTCATTACAATCAAAGTCAAGTATGTTATAAAGTTTTTAAATATCTGTTCTGTCAAGACACACCAGACCAGTGTTTCTCAACCTCGGCAACTTTAAGATGTGTGGACTTCAATTCCCAGAATTCCCCAGCCAGCATCTTGGCTTTCTTGACCATAGAGCACCTTCTCTACCTGCCTATATTGCCCTGTTTTGTCTCTTTGCTAGACAAGCCTTTTCCCTAAGATTTTTCTGGGGCTCCCTTCGTTCCTTGCAGGGGTCTCTGTAGAGTATGGCCACCTAAAAAAACGGGTGCTTCAATCACGCAGTCATGGCCACCATTTTGGCTTTTTGGACCATACCCTGTGGACACCCCTGATTCCTGTGATCTTCCCTAGCTCTCCTCTACTCCTTCCTGCCATTCTCAAACCAGCCTCCTGTGGCTTTGCTTGACTACCGCATTTGCCTAGAAAAACCCCTCTGCCGTACAGACCCCGAGAGAAAGCATTTTACTGAGATAAAGTCCATGAGCATAAAGCTGGCCTCCATAAAGGCCATGGACTTGGGGCAGATCAAAAGTAAAATCATTCAATGAAATATAAATAGACTCTAAACTGCAGGGCCTACAACAACTGTTCCAGTTTCTGCTGGGAAGCCACCTCCTGTGCAAGGCTTTTGACAACCCTGGTCATGGGGGTGAAGCTGGGACTCTTGTGAGTTTCCACACTCTAAGGCAATTGCCTTTGCTGCCCAGAAATCTGTTTTTTCCAAAAAGCTAGGAGTCTTCAAGACAAGCTGTTTTTCTAATCTATGATCAGTCTTGAAGTAAAGTCTTGCGGGTCCCCATTCCTTCCATTTAAACTCATTGTGCGATGCTGGTTTCTCTTTGCCTCTCTACCTCAGTCCATTTTACCCTCCTGGCTATTCAATCTCCTTATTTCCATCATTCACAATTCCATTCCTTATTTGGTAGTAACTTCCATGATTTCTCTCCTTCTGTGGTTCTATTCCCATAACACACTTGGCTATGGTTTGCTCAACATGGTCAGTTGGACTTACACAACCCATTAAGCTATAAACCATTGCTTACAAGCCACACTGGTTGGGTTCACCCAACATGCTAACACACATTTCTGGAAGGCCTCCTTTATTCTGGCTCTTTTCTTATAGCTTAAGGTACTACTTTCCCTGGATCATAAGGACACCCCGCAGCCTCATGAGGTTAGCCAAGTCAGGCAAGTGCCTAGATCAAGGTTCAGCCTTCCCTTTTTGTGAATCACCTGGACACTGTAAGCTGCAGATTCTGAACATAAAGCCTAAGGTGACTGTTTGTTATCAAAGGGGTTGTCACAGGCAAGATGACACAGGAAAGGTAAGTATCCAGGGCCATCCATGGGGAAGGTATGTGTCCAAAAGTCAAGATGGTAGCTTCAGGCATGTAACTGAGATTTTTGACTCCCTCCCTGGAGACACCCTTCTAGATGACTGATCAGAAGAAAACATGTTGGAGGTGGGAAAAGATACATTAGAAAAATAACAGAGATAATGTTTTGCTGGGAAGAATTAAAAGGTTATGGAATTTTGAAAAAACTGCCCTAGATATTTAGTATACAGTATAGTATACACTGAAGGAGATGCAAAACCATGAATCTGGTTCTCTCTTCATTGTCTACTATTATTAATTGTGTGAAGTCCCTGTAATAAAGGATACACCCGTAAATTACATTTTGCTTTTACTTCTTTACAAAGGACTTTTCTGTAGTTCCAGGTATGGTCCTTGGCAGAAAAGGGGTTAATTATCGGGCATCCGATGTCAATAGAGCGGAACCTGCCATTTTCTCTCCATGCAAAGAGAGAGATTTCCTCTTTCTCCATTCATCTCGCCAACAGTCAGCAATCTGTTGATCCGCTCTAAAGTAAGTGCTTTTATAAATCCTTAATCAGTGCTAACTCAAGCCTCCAACTGGACCGTGAAAAACACACACAAATTTGCAAATAGTGCTTGGGCGTTTAAAAAGTTATAATGTAATCCTGGCTATTCTGTTTGGGGTTTCCCCCCCAACAAAATGTATTCTTATATTTTTCCTTGTAGGGAAATAAGAAACATTTCCAAGAATTCAGATACGAAACAAACACAATGCTTACCTCTGTTGAGTTTTGCAATAGCTATCTCTGTGTGTGTGTGATTTAATTACTTGATCTTTGTTACCTTCTGCCAACCCATTTTGTAGTAGAGCTGCACCGTGTTGAAATCAATCACATTTCAGGAAAATATCAATGTTTTATTGTTGTTCTTGTTGCTGTACCTCAGATGGAGCTTTGATAACAGTTACAACTTCTTTTTGCTACTATTTGTGCCTATGTACAAAAATACTTATGGAGAGAGATTGAAGGAATTGGTGAAATTTAAGCTTGCAAAGAGAAGACTGAGGGGGGACTAGAGTACCAATGGTCAAATATTTGATGGGTGTCACGTGGAAGAAGGCCAAGAGCTGTTCTTTCTCATCCCAGAGTGCAGGATACAAAAAGATTAAGATACAAGAAACAGATTCCACTTGAGTTTTAGGAATAGTTTTCTAACGGGATGATTCTTGCCTCAAGCATCTGCATAATTTCTAAACCGAGGAAAGCAAGCAGCTAAGAACAAGACAATTTCAAAGGTGAAACTGAAGGATGGTTTCTAAAGCCTAAACCAAGAAGTTCTAGAGTCCTTTTCATGAGACCTAAAACACCGCTGGCTTTTTAAAAAGTCACTAAGTGGGGAAATCTTCAGAAAGCTCTCCCCCACTAGGCATGCACCGCACATTCCCTTTCAAGGGAGAAAGCTGTTTGGTTTCTGGCCCAATAGTAATAGCTGGAAATACTTTATTATTCTACCAGGTGTCACTACGCTAACTCAAGATCCACCATGTGACGTGGAAGCAGCTGTGCAAAGATTGGGAACGGTTATTCTATATGCTTGGAAATGGCTTCCTAATTCCGTGGAAAGTTATGATCGTCGGCTGCAAACAGGTTGTTTAGCCAGGCAGCACTGAATTCCTCCCCTTCAGCGTTTGTTCTGCTTTGGAGAATAACCTTTGCTAAGGAAATGTTACTGAGATGTTTCTGCTAGTGGCTCTTCCAAGAGTCCTTCTGCTTTTGGGCTGGGCGTGCAGATCAGAAGGCCTTTGCTCCCCCACCACGTTTTACGAAAACTGTTGGATCCGACGATTCCCAGGTCTTTCAATTGATGTGGAGCATTCACAGAGGCGAGGGGCGCACATCCTCAACATTTATGCTGCGTCCACTGCAGGACACTGCAGCCGAGCCTGCTGCATCCTCAAAGACGGTAAGGATTTATTTTCTCCTGTAAAGAATCAAGAGGACCCACATGAAACACAAAATATTAGCCACTTGGTTTATCAACATTTAAGATATACTTTTTCCTACTCAAGAGCAAGGCTGGAAATCTTTGGCCCTCCAGATGTTTGACTCCAAATCCCATTGACCATGCCGGTCAACAACATCTGCTGGGCTCAGATTCCCTGGTTCTGCTCTAGCCTGACAAAGAAAGAGGACTCAGGATAGGGATGTGGAGGAAAGAGAGAGGCTATGCAGATAGCAACAGGTTTGAAAATATTGGGACACCAGGACCCTCCCCTGATCCCCCCCAGCTCAAGCTGTCATTCCAGTGTCAACTCATTACTTCTTCCAACATAAATGAACAGTTGCTATTTCTTTTGGAAGTTGTCTAAAATCCTTGAATTGGACAGGGAGAACCATCCCCTGCTCAGGGCAGGAATTCAAATTAAAACATCCCAGACAAGGGCAAACAATGGCCAAATGTGCATCACGTGAAGGAAACAAGGGGAAAGGAGTTCAAGGTAGGTAGATGTTCCTGAAGGAGGAGATACTCAAAGCACAATAGGAGACAATTCAATGGAGGGGAACAATGGAGGACAGCAGAAAAAGCCAATCTGGCTACAACAAATGCTTAGGGAAGATCTGAAAACCAAGAACAGATGGAGGAAACCGAGAAAGGCCAGGTCAGAAAGAAAAAGGTACAGAGAGATAGCCCAGAGCCATAAAGCCAGGGTTAGGAAAACAAAGGTTCAGCATGAGATGAGGCTGTCACAGGATGCCAAGAATAACGGAAAGTTTCCTAGAGATGTTGACACGCAAGGCAAAGAAAATAGTGTACAAGGTAATTAGCGAAGATGGCAAAAAATGCCAGCTGGTACAAAAGAAAAGGCACAGCTACTCTACTCTTCTCTTTTTTAGTCTTCTTCAACAAAAAGGACATGTTCCCACAGGCAACTGTGAAAGGCAGAATGAAGGAGCAGGACTGATGTTTGAAGTTGATGGAAAGACGGTCAGGGAATACTTCTTTAATTTGAATGAGTTTAAATCTCCAGGACCCAATGGGCTGCATCATAGGGAACTGAGAGGTCTGGCTGATGCTCTGGCTGAACTTTCCAGCATTATCCTTGAGAAATCTTGGAGCTCCGGTGAAGTGCCAGATGACCAGAGGACACAGATTACCCTATTTTCCAAAAAGGGGGGGGGGGAGTCCAGCAAGCTTCATTAAAGACTTCCATGAAGAGATGGAAGAACGTTTATCAACTTGGATGGGATAGCTTAAATCTATAGAAGATATGAAGGAAAATAAAGAACTTGGTAGGTCAGAGAAGTGGCCCAGTAGTAACAATCACATTTAACAGAGACAAAAGGAAAGGTAAATGCAATTTTAGGCTGAATTGAACCAAAGTCCCATGGAGAATGGCTGAATGAGCTGTTTATGTTTAGCCTCGAGAAAGGCTAATGTGGGGGATAGGATAGCACCTCAGTGTCATATGGAAGAAGGCCAAGACCCGTTCTAATTCCAGGGTGCAGTTAAGGGTGTCTATTGCTTTACTAAAAATACAAGGGTGTTACAGATCAAAACAGGCTATAATAGTATAAAAGGGTTTCCAAAATAATTTAGTACAATGCAGCATTCGAGTACTCCTGTGTTCCTAATGGTAAGAGCAGTTTGAAGATGGAACCAACAACCCAGAGGCCTTGTGGGCTCTTTAATTTCTCGACACATTTCCATTCACAAGAGTCCTGTTTTTCTCTGTTGAAAGCATTCCCCTGAGAGAGAGATTGGAAGTAAGTTTGGAATTATGAATGAAATTAGGATGCCTCACTGGCTTTTCCTACTGCAGTTTCCCTTCCACGTGCTTCCTGTTATTATTTATTATTGACCACTTTCCCAACACTCTGATGCTAGAAAAAGATCTTCCCAGCCCCTTCGTTGCTTTCTTCAGGCAGAGTTTGATGGCCTCCAGAGCTGAACTTTCAGACAAAGAACAATTCTCTTGCACAGTTCTGTCTCTCATGAGTGCTGCAAGATATGAGCTGGTAGGATAAAGGGATTAAGTGAAATAAGAGCTGAAGGACTGAGCCCATCCATTACTGGAACACTGACCGGCACAAGACAATCCTTGTTTTCATATGGTTAGGTATTCTGACACATAATCCTGCCAGCATATATCCTGGTCTTGATACTTAGGCAAAAAAGTACGAAAACACCAACTCATTAGAAAAATAATCCGTTTAATCCTTTCTGGCTGATTTTTGACCAAGATTTGGTTGGCCTAGAGAATCGTAGTTTTTAGCATTTATGCTTTCAGGTGGCTGAGGCATGAGCTCTCCCTGCTATATGCACTGAGAGCATCACTGGCAGAATAATGCAATCTGCCGCAATTCAGTCTTGACGTCGCTGTAACATCATCATAATGATGACGTTACAGATTGAACGTTATGTGATTTGAATGTAAATCTACTAAAATTACTGGAGGATCTGTTACACACGCTGCTCCCAGGTTCGGCTTATGGTCACTCACTAACACGCTCACAGCCTGCTGAGGCCCACGGATCTTGTCAGCCCCCCTTGCTTTCTACCTGGGTTTTCCAGAGAGGTGTGGCTGGAGCAGACAGACACACCGCCCTGGTCAACAGCCGGGAAATAATTGGGGATTCACACAAATCACTTCCAACCGAACACTGGGGCAAGAGAGGTTCTTTGTAATACACGGAGACCCAGTGAATTTAAAGCAACAGCAAAACTTTACTGGTTGCAAGGTACATTTGCTCTTTCTCATACACACACACACGCATGCGCTCATCCACACTTGGCCACGTCCTTCCCAACTAGGCTGCCAGGCACTAGCTAGAGGGAGGCCGCCAAGTCTGGGACTCAGATGACTCAGATGACTCAGAT